ATGCAGGTGACAGGAGTGTCCCTGCTTATGTGTGTGTGTGTGTGTCGGGGGAGCTGGCACCTTACCCATCCACTGCATTCAAAGTCCTACACCCAGCGGAACAACCTTAGTGAACAAGGACAAAGCCACTGGGACCTGAAGTACCACTTTCCTCCTTGCGCAGCTCAGAGTAGACAGAGAGGCATCTGAAGGATGCCTCCTTGGCTGTGTGGTTTTTTTTCTTTATATAAATATATATATATTTAAATATATATATATATAAAATAAAAGGAAATATATATATTTATATATATTATATATATATAAATATATATATTTCCTTTTATTTTATTTTACAATACCATTCAGTTTTACATATCAGCCATGGGTTCCCCTGTTCTCCCCCCTCCCACCCCCTCCCCTTACCCCCAGCCCACCCCCCATTCCCACCTCCTCCAGGGCAAAGCCTCCCCCGCGGACTGAGATCAACCTGGTAGACTCAGTCCAGGCAGGTCCAGTCCCCTCCTCCCAGACTGAGCCAAGCGTCCCTGCATAAGCCCCAGGTTTCAAACAGCCAACTCATGCAATGAGCACAGGACTTGGTCCCACTGCCTAGTTGCCTCCCAAACAGATCAAGCCTATCAACTGTCTCACCTATTCAGAGGGCCTGATCCAGCTGGGGGCCCCTCTGGCTGCATGTTTATTACTAACAAAAAGGCTTTGGGGGAGGAAGAGAAGGGAAAGCAAGCAAGAATGCAAACAAAAGACTTGGCATGGTCGATTAGGACTCCAGCTTATGGTCAGAAATGTGGCTTTCCAGGAGGGAGAGAGACAAGGGTACCAGAACAGGAAGGAAGAAGAGGGAGGCTGGGGAGCCAGGAGGGTGATGCTAGGGAGTCAGGAGAGGGAGGATGAAAACTTGGAGAGAAACAGGTTGAAGAACAAGGAGAGGGAGTCCAGAGACAGGGAGAAGAAGGCTGCGGAGCCAGGAGAGCGAGGTTGCGAACCCAGAGAGGCAGGGCTATAGCATGGGCAACCTGCCAGCTCCCAGAAGATGTAAACACAACTGCCCACTTCAAGAGGATTGACCCAGAGCATTTTAGCCACGTGGTTTCCAAACCTCCTCAAGTCTCCACTGCCAGAGAGCCAGCCACGCTTCAAATGTGAGAGGAATTCAGAGTGCTAGCCTAAGTCATCAGGAACATGTTGGGGTATTTAGGAAGGTACAGGTGCACGGTGGCCCAGTCAGTAAAGAAGTATAGACAAAAGCAAACTAAAATCCCCCATGAGTTATTCCCTAACGTGAAATCTGGGTGACATTCCCCTGTGATGATGACAGTATGGAGGGCTTGCTATGATTTCCAAACTTGCCCAACTCCTTATACTGTATACATGTAGTACTTTGCTCAGGAAAGGTGACCCTTCATTAAACAGCCCCTCAAGATGGGGAGGATAAGATTTGTCCTTCTGGGGTTGACCAGATGGTGAATAAACCAATCAGATACTGTAGAGTGAACATGAAAGGGCACTCCATCATGTGCTAGTTTCCCAGTTACTCTCACAGCACAGAAAGTAGCCAAGCAGAGAAGAAAAGAGCAGAGGCAGTCCTCCCCCCCACACAGCCAGATTAAACCGACTCTGAGTGAACTGGCGCCACTTTGGGCAGTCAGCTTTAACAGAGAAATCACAGGAAGGACGGACAGACAGCTGGTTCTAAACAGTTTACAAAGTGTTCAAAAATAATTCATACCAGTGCTTTAAAATTATCTGAACTGCTCCATTTTGGATATTTTATGTTATGTATTTCTGTGGTATCCTAGATCACATCCTGGGTTTTGTATTTTGTTGGGCCAGTGTTCTCCCATAGATTCCCCTACCCACCTGCTACCTCTATCATTATATCACATGTACATATCCATCCATTTCAGATTTTTTTTGAGACAAGGTTTCTCTGTGTAGCTTTGTACCTTTCCTGGAACTCACTCTGTAGCCCAGGTTGGCCTTGAACTCACAGAGATCTGCTTGCCTCTGCCTCCCGAGTGCTGGGATTAAAGGCTTGAGCCACCAACGCCCGGCTCCAATTTCAGATATTTTTAAAAAGTTAGCATCGAACAAGTTGCTATGTTTTTCCTGACAGTACTCCTACATAAAGTATCTAACCAGACAACTGTTGTAGGTACATGGACTTATATTGTGTTTAGAACCTGGTTTGTGATATCTGTTTGTTCTGGTTTGGATTTTTTAACCATGTATATGAGTGTTTTGTTTGCATGTATGTATATGTGTAACTGTGGAGTACACATCGTGTTCAGTGCCTGTGGAGATCAGAAAAGGGCATAGGAAGCCCTGAAAATGTAGTTACAGATGGTTCTGAGCCAACATGTGAGTGCTGGGAACTGAACTAGGGTCCCCTGAAAGAGCAGTAAATGCTTTTAATCTTTGAACCTTCTCTCCAGCCCCTAGGTTTTTAAGGTAGTATCTCAGGTAGCCCTGGGGTGTCCTCTAATTCACTATGTAGCCAAGGCTAGCCTTGCATTCCTGATCTTCCTGCCTCTACCTCCCAAATGCTGGGAGGCTGGGGAGCTGGGAGAGGGAGGCCTGATTGCCCTGGCAGGGGTTCCCATCAGTCATGTTCTGGACACACCGGACTTTTTTCACTGGGTCTGTAGTTTAAGACTAGATAGTTCTCAGAGACTGAGGGTAGGGGCTTTTTCTCTCTGGTTACCCAGAAATGCCAAACCAGCTCATCTGTTTAAACATGAAGCCAGCCAGCCTTGCCTTATTGCAGTTTAAAAGAAACTCAAAGATTCTGTAAATTAGGAATATAGGGCATAAAACTTCATTGTTTTTCTTTCATTTCTCCCTCCACAGGGGAAGTACTACACCCAGTAAGAGGTAATATTACCAATTACATATTTAAAAAATCTTTATAAATGCAACCTGTTCTGTATCATTTATTGGCTTTGTTTTTTGCGGCAAGGTTTCATGTAGCACAGCCTGACTTGGAACTTGTTATGTTGCTGAGGCTGGCCCTGATTCTGCTGCCTCTACCTTCCAAAGCCTGGGGTTACAGGTGGTTCAAAGTCAGTGGTTTCAAACACTGTAGAAGGCAAAGAGGTAACAATTTGGCTAAAGGACAGGAGAAAAATAATTTAAAAGAGTGAGTCCAACTGCTGCATAGAAAGCTTACAACTTGGGGGATAGGAGGGTGTCTCTGCTTCCTGTTTGCATGTCTCTGGTTTGCAGAAACAGTGCTACAAGAGCATATGTATAGAGTCAACACTAGGAGCCCAGGAGGCCCTGAATGAGTGAAGTCTGTAGGGAATGTGTGTCATTGACATGGGGAGAGCCATGTCGAGGACTCCAGTGCCTCAGCCCCAGAGGAGTGGCAGAGGGATGACAAAGCCTTCCTCCTGGGCAGTGTCAACCATTCACCAATTTGTACAAAAAATGAGCAAGTGCAGCTTCCTCCTCCTGGATGTCTACAGCATGAAGCCAGCTGTCCACAGAGAACTACAAAGACTAGCCCACCCTCCCCCTGTGCAGTGCATAATGAACATGCTAAGGTTCCAGGCTGTGGCTGTAGTAGGTACTATTCCATCAGAGTGCACACACCCCACCTAATCCGTTTTTTTTCTCTACATGTGTCTCTGTGTCTGTCATTTTTTTCATTCCCTCACCTCCCCTAAATCAGGGCTCCAGGACCCAAGTCCGGTGGGTCACGGTAGAACACACTTGGTGTTCGTTTGGGTTCTTGAAGTTTTAAAGTATGCAGCCTAGGGCTGGAGAGATGGCTCAGCAGTTAAGAGCAATTGCTGCTCTTGTAGAGGATGGGGGTTTGGTTTCCAGCACCCACGTGGCAGCTCACTATCACGGGCAACTCCAGTTCCAAGGGTTCTGAGGCCCGCTTCTGACTTCCGCTGGGCTCCAAGCATGCATGTGGTACCCACATATACATGTAGGCAAAACACCCATACACATACAGTTAAAAAAAGTTAAAAATGTAGTAATTTATAGACAACCAATATTAAGATTTTCTACATTGGTATTAATGAGGAAGTTTCACTTATAATTAATGGTAAGAATGTACCTCTCTGAAAAATTGGTTTTCAACCCCAAAGAGAAAATTTGCATTATTTCAGTAATGTAACTTTTTTCAATTCACATCATAGTCAATGTGTAAGAAGGCTTTCAAATGGTGGGGCTTCACTGATCAAACTCATATACAACCCCCTACTTTTCTTTCCAGATTTATGGTTTTCAGGCTCTTAACATCCTGGTGAGACAATTGCATAATATTTATACACACCCCAATCACAGTCACATGATAATCTCAGATAAGTCTCCCCTACCTCTCCAGCACCCTACCCCTATAACAGACCATTTAGAAACCAGAATAAGACCCTGGGCACCTGTCTATAGTGTCACATGATCATCTCAGTAAATGCAGAAAAAGCCTTTGACAAAATCCAACATGTCTTCACGATGAAGGTCGTAGAGCAGTGGTTCTCAACCTCTCTAATGATGTGGACCCTTTAATACACTTCCTCGTGTTGTGGTGACCCCCCCCCCATAAAAGTATTTCGTTGCTACTTCATAACTGTAATTTTGCTACTGTTATGAATTTGGAATGTAAACATCTGAAAAGCAGAATATGTGATATGTGACCCCTGTGGGGGCTGTGATCCACATGTTGAGAACAGCTGTCTTAGAGAGTGTCAGGCTAGAGTGAGCATACAACAACATAGTAAAAGCTCTATGTGAGAAACCCACAGTCCACATCATCATAAATGGAGCAAAACTTGAAGCAATCCTTCTGACGTCAGTAACGAGACAGGGCTGGCCACTCTCCCACTCCTTGTCCATGTTGTGTATGACTTCTTTTCCTATGTGGATCCCTTTCAGTTCCTTCTCTTGCCTTATTGCTCCAGCTAGTGCTTTGAGCCTGGCCTCTCCTGTGGGCCATCCAGGAAATGGCGGGGACCCAGATGTGGCTGGTGTGGTGTCTGTGTGCAAGTTACCTCTCTCGCTCCTGCTCCAGCAGGTTGGTGAAGTCGTCACTCTTGTTCATGTAGTCAGTGTGCTTGTGTTTCTCGTTCTCCAGCTCGTACACGGTGCGCCGGTGACACTTCTCGGCCAGCAGCAGCTGCTCCAGCATGCGGCGGTACGTCTCCTTCTGCTTTTCCTCCAGTCTGTCCAGCTGAGTGAGCAAAGCCAGGAAAGAGCTTAACGTCCGACTTCATCTGCAGCGACTGTACATTGTGACACTGGCCTAGGGCCATATGACCTCACCGAGATGTGCCACCGTCTTCTGGGATTTTTTTCAATGCCAACGGGCTTTACAAACTAACCGTAATAACCCTAACACTTTCGGTTTGAGACTTAATCTTGTTATGCAGCCCAGGTTGGCCTCCTGTATGCTGGAATTACAGGCTTGTACTGTCACATCCAGTACACAATGCTACAATTTACCTGCTGGCCTTCTGGGGCAGACTCCCTGAATTTTAGGAGATTACATTATTTCACAGAAAGTGGATAAAATCTTCCTAATCTCAGAAAAGTTAAGATCTCACCATGTACATGTACCAGACTTCTCTTCTGGGCAGTAGTAATTATCACTGTCATAATATAGGGCTTGTAATTACCTAAATTTCTAGGGGAAATATAGGAAGGGTCTACACTCCTATTTTTTTTCAAGACATGCTAAATGTAGCGAGGCTTTTTAGAACACTTAAAAGAGTATACTTCTCTGCATGAGGTCTTACAAATCTTACAGAGGGCTGCTGCTTCTCTGTGGCCAGAGTTATCCTACTTCATGAAACCATGGCTTCGTCAGCTCTTTAGTTCTGACTATGCCGTCGACTGTCTGCACAAAGTATGTGCTTAGTAAAGGCCTCCTCAAGGGGACGGAATCTTACAATATTGGCACTTCCTCTCCTACCCATTACTCTTTCTCTCAAACTCCAGCACGGCTTTGATCCGGCACAGCTGAGATGAGCTCCCTCACTGTGAGGCTGTGCATGTGGGACTGAACAGCAGCATCCCTTCCTCTCTGCTCCCGGGCAGCCAGGGATGTTAGCAGCATCTTTCTGACCAGATGCCACCAGTACCATGCCCATCTATGACGAGCAAATGCTTTGACACTGTGCCATGCTTTCTGGAAAAAGAAATCCTCTACTTCTCACCGTCTTATCTGAACTCAGTATTTCCAGGTGGAACAGACGTATTGAAATCCGTTCTCAATCCCACTAACAACTCCCTGACCCTTGTGGGGAGCAGAGCTGTGCAGAGTACCAGCATTTGAGCTGTTTTCTAGATTTCTGCTTGCCCTTTAGTTTCAGGAAGCTTGCTCTATGGTTCTCCTTACAGATGCACGATGCATTCATGGGGACCCAAAGTAAAAGGAAAGTTATTTCACCCTCTTGTCTTCTTCTCTTCGCTTTGGAGCAGATAGCAGATGGAAACTGGTTGAAAGACCTATACTAACTGGTGACCCATAGCATTTAGATCTTTACAGGTAGGCAGCTAAACTTCGGGGCCTTTTGACAAATCTGGAAAAGTATTTGAAGAACAGCTCTGCCTGTGTTGTCATTGCTCCAGCTAAGGAAAGTGACCAATCTGAAGGCTCTCTTTGGAATGAAGAACAAGTATGTATGGGTTGGTCTTTTAATTTATTTTGCATCCTGCATGCCATAGTATGATGCATTGTGCTCGGAAGGCCCAGTCTCTCCTGAGATCTCAAGGAATTGTACAGGGGGAGATGATGGCATTATTAATTAGATGGTAGATGGAGAAATCCCAAGAGATACTTTGTGCAGGGACATCTGGAGAGAAAAATAGCATATGGAAATGTCAAATATTTTGGTGCAACCTCGGCACAGAGCAGGCCTTGGCCTTGACCAAGTGGGCTTTTAAGGCGGTAATAGTCTTGGGCTGCGTCACTGGAGTGGGTTGCTGGAATTGCTGTGGATAACTTTCACCTCAACACATCTCATATAGTTTGCTGTAACTGTGGTTACATGATGAGAAAGATAGTGTTCTGGCCTCGGTCTACAAGTTGCTGAGGCATTCCTGCATAGTGTTTCTGAGGTGCTAAGTTCTGCTTAAAAGTGTTAGTGTGGAGTCTAGCTTCCAATCTTAAATTCCACGTGTAAAAACTTACACAGTTAGCAGCAGATCAGCTCTGCCAGATGTTATTTCTTGTTTCTGTTTTTGTTTTGTTTTAATGATATGGAGGTCCTAAAAGGAAAGGGAGGTGGCTGTTCTCTTGGCGCTCTGTAATTTGGACAGTGTCTGAAGATCGACTCCCTGAGCAATGGGCCCTACAGATTCACTAATCACACACTGTGTCCTGACTTTGGGTTTTTGAGTTTGAAGCCGTGGTTCAGCACAGAGGAATGGCTGCTAAAGAACGGTGCAACTGTAATGGGCATCTACTATTCCGAACACATAACTTCCATTTCAAGGGGGGGGGGGGGAAATGGAAAGGCCAAGAATTTGCCAAGGAAAGAAAGAACGTACCTAGAGGTCCTTTTTGTTTGTTTGGTTTTGTTTTTCTTTTTTTTCCCTTCTTTTTGTTTTTTGTTTTGTTTTGATTTGTTTTTCAGGACGATTTCTCTGCATAGCCTTGGCTGGCCTGGAGCTCACTATGTACACTAGGTTGGAAATCAGGCAATCCGCTTGCCTCTGCCCCCCAAGTGCTGGGGCTGAAGGTATGTACCACCAAGTCCAGCTTCCTAGAAGTCTTTTAAATTACATTTTTGATTAATTGTGTGTGTGTGTGTGTGTGTGTGTGTGTGTGTGTGTGTGTGTGTGTGTTCTCGTGTGAGGGTCCCTGTGCTAAGGTACTAGTGTAGAGGTCAGAGGAAAACTTGCACAGATCAGTCCTCTCCTTTTACTTTGTGGATCTCAGGGATTGAACTCAAGTTGTCCAGCTTGATGGCAAACACCTTTACCTGCTGAGCCATCTTGCGGGACCCCAGAAGTGGGCAAACTGGAAAGGGAAACAATTTCAGCATGTTTTATGTTAAAGGACCACAGCTCTTGTGTCTGCAGAGGTTTAACTCCAAAGCACTGAGGAATTTAGGAAAAAGAGAAATCAACTGAAGAGAGCATAGAAGGTCTTAGCAACCAAACTGGCTTACAAAGAAGGGGCATGGCTTTGGGGGCACTTAAGATAAGGCTATGTTTAGTCATTGTTGAATTGGAATGGGGTCCAGTGGAAACAGGAGAGCCCCTGAGTGGGGGAAGGTGACTCTTGTACACAGAGGGTATTGGGACCCAGGACACAACTAATGAGCATGCCATAATCCTTCAAGTGGCCCATGAGATAACCAATAGCCCTTCCCTTAAGGATGCAAACCTCAAGATTTTCCAGGTGACTTAATACAGTCCATGCAGACGAGAGAATTAGATTTGGGGAGAGCAGGATAAGATGTCAGAAGCACTCCTTGGTGACAGACTGAATTGCTGACATTGCTTGGAGTCTGACTAAACATGTCCCATACTTTGTGATGTTGGGCTTGCGTCAAAAGAAAAAGGAGGCAAACTAAAAGGGATTCAGAGAGAAGAGCATCAGCTCAGTCCAAACATGACTCAGTCGTGATGGGGAAGACACCCTACTGAGGACTATCCAACTCGTGGACAGGAAATCTGAAAAGATTCATGCTAAATACACAGTCTTGCAGACTCTGAAGCCTTGATTTTGCATCTCTCCCTGGAGGAAACCACACAGCACAGATTATGAAAGGCTATAAATGTAGCCTAGGCTAATCATTGTCCTGCCTCAGCCCTTCGAGGGCAGCGATTACAGGTCTGTGCTACCATATCCAGACAGAAAAACAAATATTTGTGTGGATGAGTAGCCAGCCTGGGATAGATGGTAAGGCCCCGTCTCTAAAAGAGGTTATTGAGAGGAGAAAGAACCAGAAAAGCAGGCCTAGTGCCTCCAATCCCCATCTCATAGCTAAGCATTTCTGCATGGCCTCCTCCGTTTGTGTTCCAGATCAGACCCCTCTCCTCTGTCCAGGTGCATCTCCTGCTGGTCATCAGAAGCCCCTCTCTGTGTACTGTTTTCAGAGTTCAGTGGATTAGGGGTGGTGATTCTGGTTAAATGTGTCTGCTCTGGTGGCCTACCTCTCCCTTGGGGTTGGGGAAGTCACCTCAAGCCCTAGTTGAGGAAGAAAAGAATTAGAAAGCCTAAACTGAACTCTATCACTGTCATCACCATCCTCATCCTCATCCTCCTCATTGTAAAACTGTTATGTATTTTGCTCCTCATCCCTGCCCCACCCACATGAAGAAGAACTTGAGGGTATGAATAATTATCATCTCCCAACCCAAGCCAACACTAATGGTGAGTAGTGCCTGAGTATCTAGCACGGGCCAGATGCTACGGGTCAGATGCTACGTTAAAAGCTTTATAGCCATTGTCCCACTCAGTTCTTACAACACCACTGTGAGGTGGCTGTCACTCTCACCCCACAGATAAGGCACCAAGGTGAGCTGAAGTAGATTCTGCAAAAACCACACACAGCTGGATCCCAAACAGCCAGTTACCTGATCTGAATTCTGCCCCACGAACAACTTTCTTTCTGCCCCCCCCCCTTTTTGGTTGCATTTTAGGGAAAGCTGAGAGTGGAGATTTGCATTAATCAGAAAAACGATGGAGCTGTCAATCTGTTTCAAATACTATCTAAATCAGATCTTGCCACTGATTTAGGTTAAAAGCTAAATTTAAAACTCGTTTCCTCTGACTTTTAATTTCTGCTTTTTAGTTTATCCTACTGATTGCAAAGCTGAATTTTGAAGTATCAGTGTAGCTACATCCATTAAACTAGGACCCTAATTTGACACTGAACTTCCAGTATAGCATGGGAGAATTTTTTAAATGTCATGTCATAGGTAATAACAATAGCCCATAATTCCTAATATAATCTTGCATAAAATGATTCATTATAGCCCTAATTGATATTATTTTATCTTAAAAATTGCCCTAAATATTTCATTGAGATTTTTGTCTTCACCACTGGAATTCACATAAGACGTTTTAAATTAGGACATTTAAAGATACTCTCAAAGCAGTGGTATTAAACCACAACTATCAATAATGAATTCAATCTAAAGTTAGGTTATCATTTTTATAATAATCCTGAAAACTCAATGTGAGAACTAGTCAGCCCCTCAAATTTTTAAATATGCTATTTCTTAGAGAAGCAAAACAATAATGTATTTCAAGAGCACATAACTTTCCTAATCATGTGGAAAAACATATTTCAAACCCAAAGCATGTTTAAGTAAAAGCTTGGGACTCCTATCAGAACTTATCTAGTACAGCGCACGAATTACTTAACTATAGTTAATTTTGCATTAGAGCATCATAACAATTTTGCATTTGGGAGGAAACATCAAAACATATAAAAGGAAGAGGGGCAGTTTCTCTGCAGTTTCTTTCTAGCTGGTGCTCTGATTTACCTCTGAGATGGGTTTCTCATAGACATCTTCTCCTATGGACTTCTCTTGAGCAAGGATGGCATCTCGGTGCAGGACCCGAAGCACCTTCTCTGGCTCTGCAGATCCATAATGTGCCTCCAGAACCTCGGGCTTGGTTTTCTCTGTCTTCAGCATGTGGATCACATCTTCTCTAGCCTGTGGTTGAAGGTACAGCAAGGTCAGATGGCTGACACTGCAGATCACACATCACACTCACAAAATCAGCAAGGAGCTTACAGGATGCACCCCACTGCTTCAGGTCTATTGCAGATTCACTGGGGATTCTGGTTTTTTTTTTTAACCAACTGTAGATTGGCAAGCAGATACTCTGCTTTGGTTGCTAGGAAGCAGGGGAGCAGAAAAAGAATTTGTGCTAATATTAACTACACAAAAATTGCTTTACTTAAGTAGCACTGATATGAGAGAGGAGGCAGGTAGGACTGGTCCTGGAAAACCTGTTTCAGTATACATGAGGTCAGCAATTATCAAAAGCCTCCAGTTTTCTGTTTATGCTCTCAATATAGTATTCAAATCTGTTTTATAGGAAACCCCACTCCCTTTATTCTATAACCACCTCATTGTGGTTATAACTCTGTATGCAATTAATGCACAGCCATTCTTACTGATCTCTCTCATAAGGAATTTGCTTTGCACAACATATGGTTGAGAACTCACACTGTCCTGGGATAGGCTTTTAACCAGCTAGTTCATATCAAATTTATCTTTTTAACAGCCAGACTATCACCAGACAAGTCAGGTTGGTAGGTCATGGTTAGGTTTTCAGTGGTTTAGCTCCACATTTTACTGAGATTCTCAAGACCTAGTCCAAGTTGTAGGTCTGTGGCATTGTCTTTGGTTCCATCCTACCATGCACACACCTCCGGGTGCCTTTTTTTTATTGCTTTGTTGTGATGCAGGTGATATCTGCTGTGTATTCCCCCTCTACACTTGGAGCTGCCTTACCAATAGGGTAATAGGTAAACCAGCATGACTTCATTGTAACTGGTTGGGCACAGATTTCAGTCTGTAACAGTAAAATAGTTTTTTCCCCTGCACCAGTGCTAACTGTGAGTTTAAAATTGCAAAGACAGTCATTACGGTGCACACCTTAAGAGGAGAGTTAACTAGTTAAATTGAGTATTGAGTTCATAATCTGACCATAACAAAATTTGTGTTTCTTACGCTTCTCATTTTGTTGCTTTTTTTTCAGTCTCCAAATTAATGTCACCCAGAAGGATAAAGATTAAATTCACTAGTGGGCCAGCAGTGAATAAGAATTTTCATATCAGCGTGGCTGATACATATTGACATACTTATTTTGAGAGAAAATGTAAAATACTAATTTTGTAGAGCTTAGTAACTAGGAATATTAGTGGGAATATTAAGGCTGGAAAATAGGCTAAAGAAAAAGCAGTTCATCATCACGAGGAGGAAACCACACAAAGTGCAGTGTCTTGTCAGGCTAGCAGGGGACTATGAAAATCTGGGACAGGGGCCTGGGGCTAGCAAGATGGCTCATTTGGGAGAGTGCTTGCAATGCAAGCATGGTGCCCCAAGTGTGTATCTTCAGAAGCCACCTGAAAGCAGACACAGTGGCACATATCTATCGTCCAATGAGAGAGATGCAGAACAGTAGCTTTTCTTAATGGAGACTTCCGGTGTGCCAACCTCTATCATCACCATTTTTTTTTTACTTTCACGTGTGATTTCAAATTTGCCTGCCTTGTCCACAAGCCATGGCATCCACAGTTTCTTCTTTCAAGATGACATTTTCATCTTTAGTCAAATTTAAAAAAAAAAAAAAACTGACCTCAGATATGGGAATGATTAAAAGAGAAAGATGGTCACATCATTCATTTGCTATTTTTATTGAAATTTTGGAGGATAGGTAGCCAAATGGTCTTGTTGGGCACAGGCTGTGACCCCACGTCTGGTAACAATATATGTACTTATGTGAATGAGATGAGCGTTGGAATCCTTCCTTCTGAAGATCAAAAGCAGTTGATGTACAGGAGGCTCCTGCACTACAGGGCCGCCATAGGTTCGGGTTTATGCCTTGCCCGGGGTTATTTGGCAGACAGAATAAACAAGGGCTAAAATACAGCCGAGTCATCTATTACTAAATAAACTGCTCCCTGCCTCTGCTGATGAAAGAGGCATTTTCTTTCCCTTCTCCCTCTCCTCTCTTCCTCCTCCTTATTGTATGTGCACATGCACATGTACATACATTTGCTCATGCATGAGCATGTGTTTGTGGAGGCCAGGAGTTGATATCATGTCTTCCTAAATCACCTTCAGCCTTACATGTTCAGAGACAAGGTTTCTCATTGAAATTAACAATGGTAACAATTTTTTAAAAGGAATGAAAAACACGCTCATCTATGCTTCACTGATGAGACACACAAAGGCAAATAATGTACCAGAGTGTTTACTCTCTTCTACCTAGAGGCTTGGTCCTGAGAAAGCCACCTGATTCTGACTACAGATGACCCTAGTCACAGCGTCCCTGGGATCAAAGACAAAGACATAAACTCAAAGTCATAAAGATTGTGCTCCACCCACTTGTTGGCATTGTCAGGATTCCTTTTGGATTATTCAAACACAGCAGAACCTGAGGACAGAACAGTCACTGTGCTGGGTAGGGATGCCACGTGCACAGGAGCACAGGTCCCCATCATGTGTGTGCTGATTCAGTCACAGTCCTACCTGACCTAAGGAACTGCCACAGAGCTATTCACAATTGGCCCCCCACCACAGAGCTATTCACACACTGGCCCCCCACCACAGAGCTATTCACACATTGGCCCCCCACCACAGAGCTATTCACACATGGGCCCCCCACCACAGAGCTATTCACACACTGGCCCCCCACCACAGAGCTATTCACACATTGGCCCCCCACCACAGAGCTATTCACACACTGGCCCCCACCACAGAGCTATTCACACACTGGCCCCACACCACAGAGCTATTCACACATTGGCCCC